ATAACACTTATTTTTTCTTTTTCGGTTTCTACGACTACCATAGAGTGATTATTTTCGATTATGGACATAGTCAAGACTAAGCTTCGTAACAAGATAAAAGATGAATTTCTTTTTTGTTGTTTGTTACTCGTATATTGAAAAAAAATTACTGAAAATTTTAATATGGATTCATTTATAGTTGATTTTCATGACTTGAAAGAACAAACACCTCTATTTTGAAGTTATTTTAAAATATATATTGATTTGTTATTTATAATATATATAAATTTGTGCAAACCATGATAAATTTATAAATATTTGTTTTAGCCTCTGTGAACATTTGGTCATGTGTCCACCACTAGCTATCGTACCGGACTCATAACAAAAACACATGTCACATTTGTACTTTTCAAATTCATGCCATCATTTAAGTCTGTCAAAACAAAGAAAATGTGAGTATGAAAAAACAAGAGCGGAGTGGGGTCATGGTCCAAGTTGGAGTTTTGATAGAGAAAATGAAGGGTCAAGATGAAAGAGGGAGGAGAAGAATATAAAAAGCGAGGAAGAAGAGGTGTTAAGGAGAAGAGGCTTTCGGATAAAGAACAAAAAAGAAAAAAAGAAAAAGAAAAGAGTTTTCATAGGAGAGGGGAATGTTTAACTTGTGCTGAATTTGTTTGGTCCATTACATTTCCTTCATCTCATCAAGGTGTCTGTCATTATGTTCCTTTTCTATATAGGTAAGTATTTAAAAAAAAAAATTCAAGCATTTTTTCTTTTCTCATTCTTTTCTTTACTTGTTAACATGTTTATGTTTCTTTAAACTTGTCAAGTTTGTGGAAACGGTCATATTTTAAAACCGTATCAAGATAATGAAAAGTAAAATCATGGCATGTTCTCGGTAAGATTATGATCTTATCCCTTTTTGAGGAGAGTTAGAAATAACTAAAAAAGAGGAGGATTAATAATGAGAAAAGAAAGAGAAAAGAAAATAACTGCAACGGGAAAAGGAACATAGAGTCTGGTGATGAAGAGTAAACGAGGTTTGGTTTGGTGATTTGTTATTCTTGTAAGTTATGGTTTACAAGTAATAGAAGCTACCGAATAATTTGTAGCTCATCAATGGTCTCTTACAACAAAAGCTCACGGGTTCAAATCCTAAGAGACAAGTTACGTTAGGAGTTTTAGGGTGTAAGTTAAAAATATTAAGAAAAAAACAAGTAATAGAAGCTTTTATAGTTAAGAAAGAGGGAGAACAAAAAGAAATGAGACTCGGGCTAAGGAAAGAAAAAGAGAAACAAAAGGGACTCGGGATGGGGAAGAAAAAAATAGGCTTAGGCTTGGGTTTTAGTTAGGTAAACCCGGGTTGCTAAACATGGGTTGGGCTACAAACTAAGTGAAGCCAGCTGAGAAGGCCTAAAGCCAAAAGATTGTCGAGTCGGGTCCGTTGTTTTCTAGCCAAAAAAGATATGCGAGGCTAAGTTATAAGTTGGGCCAAAGAAGAAAAATAGTTACACGTTTGTTAGTGTGTATTTTAGGCCTTGATTTTAGGCTACAAAACATTAGGCCTCTTTAGTTTAGGGCTAAGCTTTGATTTGGGCCAAGGACTTAATGGGCCCTTAAATAAATTACGTTTTTAAATTTAGGATTTATTTTAACAAGGTCTGCCTTGCTCATTTTGACTTGAATTTTTTATGTGTGTTACGCATAGTTATCTTCGTCATAGTCAATGTCGACTCTTTGTTTGTATCTTTTTACCACCAATCTTGCCTTTATCTCTCCACTTCACCTTTGGGATTTTTCTTTATCTTGTACACCTATTTCACACCAATTTCCTTATGCCCTTTAGGAAGTGTTGTTAGCTTCCATGTTTCATTTTTCATGATCATCTTGATTTCTTCATCCATAACATCCCTCCATCTCTTGTTTTACATTGCTTCTTGAAATTCAATAGTCTCACAATCGAGCAAAAGATAGAAGAGATTAAGTTGATCATTTAGATTCTCAATTATCTCATAAATTTCTTCTAAGCTACTTATAGTGGAGGGAGGTCTTCTCATTTCTTGAGCTTGATCTCAAACTTAAAGAAGATGAAGTACCTTGAACTAGTGATTAAACGGGAGATGAAGGTCGAGTGACAATCTCTTTAAGTGCTTGTCATAATTGTCCGTCATCTTCAAAGACTAGAAAGAAGTCATAATCTTCATCTTTTTTGACACTCCAATCTCATAAGGCTTCTTCATCAAACTCAACATCTTTACTTAGAATGATCTTGTTGTTAGTTGGATTGTAGAGCTTGTATCTTTTGGAGCCTTTTTCATAGCTAATGGATACTAACTTCGACTTTTATCGTGTAGTTCGATACGAACTTCATCTAGTATGTGTGCATAAGCAATGATTCCAAAGACCCATAGGTGCTTGACATTTGGCTTTCTCCCATTCCAAGCTTTTAAATGTGTCTTGTTAGGTAGACTTTTGGAGGCGCACGTTTTAGATAGGTATACTAAACAATCAACTATTTTAGCCCAAAATTCTCTAAGCATACTCTTGCTCTTCAATATGCTTCGAACCATGTCAAGAATTGTTCTATTCTTTCTTTCTACCATACCATTTTGTCGTGGTGACTTTAGTACTTGTGAGAGAATGTCGAAATCCATTATCCTTATAAAATTTATTGAGCTCCTTTAATGTAAATTAACACCTCTATCGGATCTTAAAGCTTTGATGTTTTGTCCACTCTCCTTTTTTACAAGAGTCTTGAACTTCTTCAACATGTTGAATGCCTCAAACTTCTTCTTTAGAAAATATTCCCAATTCTTATAGTTGTAGTCATCAATAAATATGATGAAATATTTATTTTTTTCATAAAAAATTGGATGGATTGGACCACAAACATCTATGTGGACAAGCTCTAGTGGCTTTTTCATTCATGATGTGGCTTCTTTTATAAACCTTTTTCTAAAATGATTTCCAAGGAGATATCCTTCACATAATTGGTTAGGATGATTGATGAAAGGCAATCCTTTCATGAGAGCAAATTTAAATTATCAAAATTTATATTCCCAAAACTCAAGTGCTAAAGCCAAAAAATATATATATTGTGTAGGCCATAAGACATTTTGCAACATGATTTTGAATATTCAATAGGAATAATCTATTCCTTGTCATTAGCACTCTAATTATTAAATTTTTGCCCTAGTCATCTTGTATCATGTAATATTTATTTTTTAATTCAATTTCATAATTCTTTTCAAGAAGTTGCCCAAAGCTTAAAATATTATTTTTCATACTGGATACATAGTAAGCATTAGAAATAAATCAATGCCTTTCATCTTTCAAGAGAATAAGTATCTCACCTTTTCTTTTTACTAAAATTCTTGACCATTGCCAAACATCACGACACCTATGATGCTCTCGTCAAGTCTGTACAAATATACCCCTATTCGTTGCTCATGTGATTGCTTATCCCGTATCAAGATACCATGTGTTATCTTTTATATTTTCTCTTTATGTTGTGCCATTAGCAATATAATCTCTTCTTCATCATTATTTGCCATAAAATTTGGTTTCTCATTCACATTGCTAGTCTTACTCCAACAATCGAAGCATAATGTCGATACCTTTGCCTTTTGTAGCATGAACTTAAGAACTCCCAATCCTTCTCCTTGATGGGTTACACTTTCATAACCTCTTGTTGAATAAAAGGTTGGACTCTTTTCTCTTTGATTGAACTAATTGTGACCTCTTCATCCACCATGACCACTATCTCAACCACATCCATGACCTCATTGGCTTGTTTGATGACAAGTACTTTCTTCATTCTTCAAAGTGGGTTTGCTTTGAAGAACTTTTTCCAAAGCTTCTTGCTTCTTATTTTATGTCTCTCCCTATGGGCTTGTAGCAAGTCCATAAGTTCATCAATGGATATAGATTCCAAGTATTTTGATTCTTCAATTGCCACCAAGATATGCTCAAATTGTGAAAGCAAATAGCGAAGAATTTTCTTAATGATATAAGTATCATTTAACTCTTTTCCATACCTTTTTAGTTGGTTGGAGATAACCAATACTCTAAAGATATAATATAAGGTTGTTTCGAATTCATTTATGAATAGGATTTCGAGCTCATGTCTCAAAGTTTAAAGCTAAATGTTCTTCGACTTGTCAACTCCTTGTTGAGATTTTTGAAGAATCTACCAAGCTTGCTTGGCAATGGTTGCAGAAGAGACCTTTTGAAACATACTCTCATCCAAACATAGATAGATGATTGAGAGAGCTTGTTGATCCTTCTTGCATGCCATATACAACATGTCCTTTTGTCCTACCGTCAAGGTAGCCTTATCGACGAGCTCCTCGTAGCCTTTCTCTACAATCTCGCAAGCATCTTGTGAACCTAAGAGAGTCTTCGGTCGAATAGACCAACTATCATAGTTATCTTTGGTAAGACAAGGAAATTGAAATGGAAGCATTCCACTTGCCATCATTCTTGGTTTTGATTAACCAAACTCTCATGCCACTTTGTTAGGAAAAAGTACTAAGTAATTAGATGAAAAAAGTACTAAGTAATTAGATGGATAAAAATGTATGGAGGACAAAATACAAAAATATATTTCACTCACATATTTTTATATACACTAATCACTTACTATTATGGACAATAGATCCTCAAACTTCTACTCACTTTCTCTACAACTCTTTAACTCTCTATTTTTTGCACATACAAACTTATGGCCAAAGGATCATATTTATACTAACCTAAGGATGATTCTAGACAAGCACATCATAAATGCAATGAGAAGACTCTTCAAAAAAAGTTCATGATAATTCTTGAATGTTGGCAATGCTAAATGTCTTGAGAAAATTCTAGAGAAGATTACTTACTAGATATCTTCAGAAAAATCTGGAAAAGATTTTTCTAGACCTGGTCTCTGGGCTATGGACTTGGACTCAAGCTTTGAACTTGAGCCAAATCAAGTTTACTTTCTAACCGTTTCAAGCAAATTGCAAGGAACCCATGAATTCATTATGCAACCTTCTCCTCCTACTATTGCTCTGCACTTGCAGCGCAGATCGTGGGGTTTCTGCAATGCTGACACCGTAATAAGTGGCAACAGACAAATATTTGCTAATATTGACAGGTAATTGCCAGTGTTGGTTTTCAGGACTGCCTTAACTGGTTTCGCTGCAGTCACTTATGGCAAAGGACAGGACAAAGTCTTTGGCCTAGCACAATGCAGAGGAGATGTGAGCAGCAAAGACTGCTTCAATTGTATCCAAGATGCAGCAAAGCAAATCCGTGAAGTCTGTCCAGACCAGGCTGATGCCAGGATTTGGTTCGATTGCTGCTTTTTACAGTATGACAACATAAATTTTATTGGAAGAGTTGATACAGACTTCAGCATATTCTACTTTAATATGGAGGAAGCAACTGAATTTGAAGACTTCCATGATGAGCTAGCGGCTCTGACAGATCAGATAAGAGCAGAAGCTTTTTTCCTGGGAATTGAGTGCTGGGAAAGGGTGAAAAGAAACTAAATCGATTTGTGAAACTTTATGCTCTGGTGCAGTGCGCAAGGGACCTATCTCCGATAGACTCTGCAGTGTCTGGCTATCGCTATTGGAAATTTCCCCAACTTTTGAGACGACAGAAAGGGATGTCGAATTTTTTATAGCAGTTGTTCCGTTCCTTATGAAATTTATCCTTTTTTCTTCCCCATTGATTCTAGCAATTCCCTGTTTAGTACTTCAATGGTGGTACTTAATCCATAGGTTATGCTGTGAACATCAGTTTATTTATGAGTGGAAGTTTGGAATAGTCCTGTTTCAAACAAATAACTTTCTTCACATACATAAGAATAAGATCATCAGTGCATTTACAATCATCATCTCTGAATCTCTGGTATGAATCAAAGAGTGTGTGTGTGCGACATTTTGATTCTCCATTCTTGAATTGTGTTTAGTTGTTGGCTTTTCCATAGCTCCTTGGAAAAGGGATCACATCTCTAACATCATAGAGGCCAGTAGTGAACAGAACCATAAGATCAAACCCTACACTGAATCCAGAATGCTCGACTGTTCCATGCCTGCGAAGATCTAAGTACCATTCGTACTGCTCTCTTGGCAAGCCCAATTCATCAATCCTGCATTAAAAATTTAAACAGCAAAGCATAACTTAGTCCTTATTTTGGCAAGAACTAACCAATACTAAAACTTTTGTAAAAAACCTCATGGCGAATGAATCCTGAAACGTTGAAGCTGGGTGCTAAGCCTCTTACTAGACAGAACTCACATAACATGCATGAGATATTGACTGAAAAATGGACTCAGGTTCACTTTTTCGTTTTTTTTTTTTTCTTTTTTTCAGACGAAGATGCCATTGTTGAAGACAGGACAGGGGAAAAAAGAAAAATCAAAGTGTGTGTGAAGCATTTCAATGCAAATTATAATCTTGCTGCTGGTGTTAATTTGACCGAGTCATTGTCTGATCTACTGGCCAGAACTTCAATTTTTCCTTAGTTAATTCGAGCATCAAATGTAAGCAGTACTTAGTTTCTTACCTTGCGCTTAGCATATCAAAGCGTTCCTCGCTTTGGCCACCTGTAATGATTGTTCCAACCTGCAAATATATATCAACCAGCTTATAGCCAGTCCAAACTAGGATTTGGAAGGGTTAAGGAAGGCCTCAATTATAAAGAATACTTCTCTTTGAAGAAATTTTGAGCTTACCTTTGGAACAACCATATCAAATGCAGCGACTGTCTTTCCATCATCATTCAGCCGTACATAAAACGGCTTAATTTCTTTTGGATAATCGTATATAATTACAGGCCTCTTATAGTAGTCGTCAGCCAAATAACTGTCATTCATAACATATAGTAATCACCAGCATTAGGAAAGAACGCCTCACTTCCCATCCTTCAAGATATTTAGTCATGGACGTATGGAACGTCACATTAGGCATACCTTAGATGTTCTGCTGTTAAAGCAAAGCCCCATTCATCTTTTATGGCGAATCTGATACCTGTAGCCTGCTTGAAAAATGTCAAAAGGGATATTTATGAGGTAGAATTGTTTGAGGTTAATGTGATTGCAATAAATAGAAGAAAAATGCGGTTTACCTTCTTCAAAATATCTACTGCTTCCATGTAGGAGATCTTTCCAATTGAACATGACATCGTTGATTGAAGACGATTGATGCTAGTATTGTCAATACGGTTAGAACCAAATTTCATGTCTTCTGAACAGTTTTCCAAAATCCATTTGCAGAGGAACTTGAAATAGTTATCTGCATAATTCATTGCATCCTGGAAAGCCCACAAAAATTTATAAAATCAATTTTCTTCCGTTCAATTATAATAGACTATAAAAATCATGCTTTCAAATGATTGTCTAAGCACTAGAGTGTCGTGCACCTGACACCAGAAGGGAACATGATTGTCATACCTCTAATTGTGAAAAAGCCATTTGAACCTCAACCATCCACATTTCTGCTATACGCTTTGCAGTTTCCTTTCTATCTGCTCGAAATCTGGGTCCAAACGAGAAAACATTTCCAAGTGCACAAGCATAGCTTTCCAGATGGAGGAGACCAGACACAGATAGGTAAGTTTGTTGAGAGAAGAAATCTTTATATACCTTCATTGAAGGTCCTGATTTCAGTTTTTCTTTTGCTTCTAATTGCGATACTAATTGATTCGTTTTACGCAAATCCTGAATTGCAGAAACCAGGGCTTCCCTATTGCTTTCACTTCTCTTCAGTTCTTCAACTAGATTGCTTTTCTCTCTTATAGCAGCCTTAACAACTTCAAGGCTAACACCTTCTATGTCATCAGATGCTTTTGCCGCCTCCTTTTTACCTTCTTTACCCAAAAGAGTCGTGACCTGAAACTTTTCACTAAACCCTTCTCCATCTGTGGTTGTGATAATGGGCACTTGCACATCGAGAAACCCATTGTTGTGGAAGAATGTCTGAGTTGCAAAAGTTAGGGCACTGCGGATTCTCATAACAGATGCCACCTGCAGAACATGAAACATTTCAATTAATCAGTTGAAGCTGCTTAACTTTGGGCTATTTCTGATTCTTGAGACCTTGGATACATATAATCCAATTGTCATCATTCTGAAAAATATAACCAAGTATCAGCATATATATCTTTTACTGCCTCTTACAAGCACTATTGTAATGGGCAATTCACAAATAATTTCCAGATTCTACTTCCACAAATAGGAAACCAAACGTTCAAAATCACTCTAGAAAGGAAAGTTTCACAGTAAAAATACATGCCATATCTGAAATTAAAATGTTACAAACAAATATTTCATGGCTCCAGGACTTGCAAACTAGAATATTTCTAAAACCATAAAAATATAGTAATGTATGAAAAGCCTACCGTTGTTGTTCGAGGCCGGAAATGGGAAAAGTCTCTCAAAATCTCCAATGGTAATCGTTTCTTTGATAAAGGATACCTTTCTTGATCCACTGTCCCTATATGAAGGATTCTCTCTACTTCAAGCTCAATTCTATGTTTCCCCGGCATTGATGGCTGCTTTAGTACACCTTCAGCTAATATACAAGTTCCAATAGGCAGCAGCTGGCTGGGAGCAGGTATAGAGGAGCCCACCACAACCTGAGAATTTTAACAACAGGCAGAACGTGACATATAAAAGTACCCCTGATCACATCATGATTCTTAATTAGGGCAATGAGACATTAATCTAAGGCACAACGAACAAGCCAAGAAATTTCACCTTGATGCTTCATCAAACACTTGTATTTTCTTTATGCAACGTAAACAAGTGCTAATTATAAATAACACAGATTTCGTTTTCATTGATCGGTAATTGATTGTTTTTGGAAAACTGATAATACTATATAGTAAAATGATAGACCATATAAAACCCTCTGATGCTTCTGAAGCTAGCGGAAAAGGCGAAATTAGCATACCTGAAGACTTGCGACAGAAGAGCCATCGCTGACAAGCAAGTAAGCAATTGACGGTGGAGGTGGCCTAGGAATATTTGCTGGTTCCTCCACCTTCTCAAGAGCCGGGTAATTGCTACCACCCCCTCCGCTTCCACCACCCAAAATCTTTATTATTGACCTAAATATAGGTATTCGAGACTGAAAAAGCTCCACACAGCTCACATTCTTGGGCCCTGGAGACACATTAGGCCTAGCATTAGTCTGTGGTTGTGGTGCCGGCACAGGCTCTTCCTTCACCTCTCTGGAAGACTTCACCCAACCACCAACCACAACTCTCTTACCCACCAATCCCAGCACTCCGTCACTTTGCTCTAAAATGGTTTTCAAAACCACCCGATTTGAGAATTTGGATGATAAACTGCTTGAGCTGGTGGTTAAGGTTTCTTGGGAGGACGTATTGGACGCTTGAGATATCATCTTTGGTTTTGAAGATGCTAATTTTGGCTCTTGAGAGATCATTTTTGGTTCTGAAGATGTTAATTTTGGCTCTTGAGAGATCATTTTTGGTTCTGAAGATGTTAATTTGGGTTCTTGAGGGATCACTTTTGGTTCTGGAGAGGTTATTTTGGGTTCTTGAGATGGCTTTACAGGTTGTTGAGATGCTATTATGGAATCTTGAGATGCCATGTTGAGATTCAAAGAGAAAGGAAAGAGAGTAGCGATTGAAACAAGAAACAGAAGATAAAGAAGTTGTGATGAAAGATGAAGTTAAATGCTGAATTGAAAAGGGAATGGATGATGAAAGGATCGGCATGGTGATATAGAAGAATTAAGATGCTTTGCTTGGGAAGTTATTCTGGAGAATGGGAGAGAAGGAAAGGGATAGTTTCAGAGATTTGACTTTGAGGTGTAGGCGGCAAGGTTTGGTTTTCTTTGACGCTGGGTATTCGCGGGAGGGAAAACTGGCAACCGTTTTCCAAATTTTCATCACCTACCACGGTCGAGTAACTGAGTAAATTATAAATTAGTTATTCTAATTTTGAGAAACAAATTGATTAATTTTTTAAAATAATTTTTGTTTATTTTTTTATTTTAAAAATACAGAAAAAATAAAAAATAAATAGATATTATAGAAAATTTGATGAGAAAAGAAGATATCTTTAAAATAAAATAATATTAAAATTAAGCATGATATTAAAGGCTAAATAATTAATTTTTAAAACAAAAATATTAATTAATTTTGTATTTCAAAACTCAAAGGACTAATTTATATATTACCAGCCACGGTCTTGGTGTTTTTAATGGGCTGGACTTACCAAATTTCTGGCCCAACTACTAGCTCATTTGATCTTCACAGAATCCCAGCTGCTGACTTACTATTGATCAAAGAAAAGAAATTTATCTGTTAAAAAAATGAAAAAAAAAAAAAAAAGGTCCTCCGCGTTAACTGTATATATTATTTTTCTTTTAACAAAAGATTTGAAATTTACTAATTATTATAGAAGCCAGGCCAAATAGCTTTGGTGTCGTTTTAAGTTACTTGGATTTTGTAGTCAAACTCTCCTCGCACTTGAAAATTGAATTGGAAGAAACGAAAGAGAAAAGGAAATTAAAGAAGTTTACCAATAGATCTCTCATCCAGAGACTACATGTATCCTTGCAATAGCAGATGTGACAAAAAGAGAAAATGCCTTTCAAGTGGCTGCATGTACTCTTTAATTAAAGTCTTCTTAATGCTTGGTTTGTAACCTTTTAGCCGCTCTACATGGTTCAGAAAGAAAGTAGGAAACTTTTAGGGGGTAATTATCGTTTAAGAGGATATAGGAAGAAAGGGGTGAGTAGGAATGTGCGTGCATCGTATCACCATTAGAATTTAATTTGATTATAATGTAATTAAATAGATATAATTTATAGCTTTTATAATTCAAATCCGATTATATTTAGATTCATAACTTTTATATTAAATAAATCAAATATATATATATATATATATATATATATATATATATATATATATATATATATATATATCCAATTCGATAATAATTTGATATAAGTATTAATATTATTTTTAATAAATATAATGAAAACATAAAAAGTAAAAAATATATATATATGATACTAGGTTCAGATTTATGGTTTGTTTACTCTAGATGCTAAAATACCATTTATATTTTGATTTTTTTTAATATTGATGACTATTTTTTCAAATAATTACATGATATAAATCTTTTTTATCATTTTTCAAGTCGCAAATAAATTTTATGAAAAAATAAATAAATAAGTTGTTATTAGTATTATATTTTTAATTTTAATTTATAAAATCTTAATTCAATTTGAATTTTTGATTATTTTAAGTTTATTATTCGTAAAACACTAGAATTTTTTTATACCAGTCAAGTTATGTTTAGAGTAAACATTTTTATTTTGTTTTTTTTAACTTTGTCATATTTCTTATCTAATTAAAATTAATTTTGATCTTTAATACATATTTTGATCGGAATTATTTATGCTTTTTTTAATGATGAGACCTTTAAAATTTTTTTAAAAAAATTGACATGTTATACATACATACATATATATATATATATATAAAACTACATTAAAACATGATTTTAAATGTAATCAATATTTTTTGTTTTTAGAAAAAAAAATTAGATGATAAATTCAATGGATATCCAAAACTATTAGAATTCAGATTAATAACTGTGAAATCCAAGTTCAAATTTATTACATTTAACTTGATTTTTTTATTAAATAAATCCAATTCAAATCCACTGTAATCAGAATCGAATCCAATGATAGGTCTAGAAGTAGACAACAGCATTCCCAATGACTGGCCCCTAAACAAATTATAGGAACTGAGGATAAAACAAAATCTTGAAACATCATTTCCCAAGTTTGAATCTTCAACCCAGTCTGACATGCTGAAAATAGTACTAGCCCCGTGCAATTATCTCTTTTTTTTAATGGGTAGTGGCAAAGTTCATGCATATTTTAAACGAATGCAGTGTGTTTTTCAATGTCATTTGACTAAAATTGTGTGAAAAACCTAAGAAAATTGGCTTGGATATAAAGAGTTTTAGTTGGTCAAGTAAATAATATGGATTTCGAATCTTTCTGAATAAAAAAAACTCTTTAAATAGATTTTTTTTTTAATTAGACAGAAGGATAAAAAAAAAAAACAGTGTGAAAAAGAATCTCCAGTATTTTAACAGGCTTCCAACATATCATTCAGGTATTTACCGTAGAGATAGGGCAGTTTTCTAGGGCCGGAAACCCTGGATGCTTCTATCGATGAGTTTAAGATGTCTCTGCAGTTCATCCAGCCTCTAGAGGCATACAAATGATGCGCTAACTTCAGACACGGATCAAAATGATTCCCATGCCCTCTGGAATGTCTGTGCTGCCCTCCATAAATATCAAAATGACCCAACATTGAATGGTCAAAATGGAAAAGGCAAGTGGGTATGTTTGTAATCTTCAAGTACATTCCAGCGATTGATCCCATGCCCACAGGCACACACTCTTCTTTAAAAAAAGGTTTGGGGACCCCTTCCATGCCTTTAGATTTTTAGCCAGTCTATCTCTTATGGTCATTAATTGACCACAAACTCTTTCAATCTCTCTCTCTCTCTCTCTTTCTCTCATCCATCCATCCTTCAAATATATTGACCACCTACCTGTTCATATCACCTTACTCCAATTAATACAAAGGGAAGAATGGCAAGCATTAAACTATGCTACTTGGTTTTCCTACTCTTCACCTTTATTCTTGCACCATTTGCCAATGAAGGTTATAATCAATTCAACCAAAAGCATATTTCTTTTCTTGGCTCACTCTAAATCTTGTTTTCCTTCTGGGTTCCTAATATTGTCCTTGCATGAGGTTCTTAATACTGTTTGGTCTAGCTTTTAATTAAGTTCGTTCAGGAATATGCTTTTCTTAGCCAGCTAGCTAGCTATTCAGGGAACTAATGGATATGTTGTTTCTTGCAGAACTGTAATCCTTTCATCCTGTTTGGTTATCAAGAATATATTGACCAACTTATTTTCGTTCTTTCCTTCTTTCTTCTCCTTAATTATATACCAATTCATTTTATGTAAATATATATTGCAGGATCCAGAAATCAAGAACTGCTGCCTTATCGTCGAAGGAGCAGTACTCCATTACGGGAAGGACAGATGTCTGGGAATTCAAAGAGATTGATGATCGGCTCCACAGCTCCTACTTGCACGTATAATGAATGTAGAGGATGCAAATACAAGTGTAGAGCTGAGCAAGTTCCTGTGGAGGGAAATGACCCAATAAACAGTGCATACCACTACAAATGTGTGTGTCATAGGTGATGCCTGCCTATATAATTACTTACCAGTCGACTTCTTGAATATTGGTGTGGTTTTTGAATCAAGAAATTGAATGATGCCACTAGTTCTGGTCTAAAGAGCTTCTTTTTTTTTCTTTTTTTTTTGGCCTGCTAAATTAGCGAGCTATATGCGTATCAAGGTTAGCTTTTGTAGCATCCATTTGGGCGCAGAATTTTTGTCTTTCTGTAAACATATATGCAATTAAAATATTTGTAAGTTTTTTTGATTTCAGTTTCTTATACTCTATACTTTTATCGTTAGCCTCCATTTTTCATTTTAGATTTACACTTCTTTCTTCTTTTCTTTTTGTTGTATCAAACGTTCTTTCGTGGTTGAGACTTGAGAATGTATTATATGGATGTATGTCACATAGGTCCAACTACTGCAGATTATTTCTTGCTGTATATATAGTAAATTTAGATATGCACTAGTTGTAGTTATATAGCCAGGAGCAACGTTCGTTAATTAGGTTGCTTCATGGAATGAAGGTTGGATGTTGATTATCATTAAGGTGGTATTTGATACGAACTTTCAAAATATACATATATATGTAATTACTATATAAATAATTTTTTAAAAAGTAAAAGTTAAAATTATAATTTTAACCCTCTCCTTGAGGTTAAAATTTGATCCATGAACCAACTTGGATTCCTTAAAACATATCTCATAATAAAAAAATAAAAAAAAAAAAAAAAAAAAGAGAGAGAGAGAGAGTTAAATTCTAACCCCATACTCTTCTATCAAGTATATATGAATAAATTATAAACTAATCCTTCTGGTTACGCAAATAGAGTTAAATAGTTCTTTTGATTTAAAACAGGTAATTAATTAGTCTTTTCATGAGTGTTGATTTTAGTTAATTAAATATTATTTTATTTCAAAAAAATATCTTTTTTTCATCTATTTTTCCATACTTTTTCCTTATGTTTTTCCTTTTTTATTTATTAAAAATATTAAAAATATATAAATAGATTTAAAAATATAGAAATTGATTAATTAGTTATTAAAACTAGAAATTCTATTGAATACCTTTTTGAAAACTAGAATGGCTAATTTATAATATACTCAACATATCTTTTTAGGGGGAAAAAAGTGAGGAATCATGTGCAAGTGGGCACAAGTTTGCTTAGGTGGTCCCTAGACTAAGACACAAGCTAACAAGGGATCACATGGGCAATTTGTGTGGAATCCGTTAAATTTAGCAAATGTGTTGAAGATTTGATTTCTAATACAGCCAAGAGGAGCGATAATGGCATTGAGGTCCCATTTGCAGTGTACAGAAACATGCAAGTGCTGCCAACGTTACAAACTTGAATGCTTTTCTAGGCCCAGCTTCTCTGCTCTTTCCTTTTTCTTTCAGAATATATTAGCTAGCATCCATTTTTATCTACATTTTCGTCCCGTGGACAATCATTAATTTACATCACCCCCTGCTTCACCGCCCACTGGTTATTACATTCTAGTTGTTTTGGACAGTGTTTTATTTAGATTTGATCCCTGAACTATTCTTTTTTTATTGGAGACTTTCATTACTTTTTTCTGTATCGATTGAATCAAAACGAAAAGCATATAGACTCAATTAATATGAAAGAGAATATGAAGGTCCAATCAAAATAATTATAAGAGTACATGGACCAGATTTGGTAAAACCGTTTTGTGGATGATAATTTGATACCAAGGCTTGTTCGCATGTCTTATTTTGATGAATTAGAATATTTAAAGGGACACTTTTTAAGTATAACATTGCTGGTTTAGCTTTTACGCTAAAACTTTCCATTTTTAAAAAAAAATTATTAACATATTTCATAATTAAGGAGTTTGAAGCTTATATATGATTACTATATTAAACTGCTAAATCATTTTGTTAATTAAAATAAACATAATTTTTATCGATGAAAATTGATCAAATATTTTTTTATGACAGAAATTGAAATAGTTTTAACATTTAAAATCACTTTATATATATATATATATATGGGAGGATCCATCTGAAAATATAGTTTGGAAATTCGAAAAGACCTTACATCCTTGTTTTTGTATCCATTAGATGAATATCTCTGTAAATAAAAAATAAAAAATAAAAAAATTTAATCAAATTTTACCCTATGTCAGCAAATTTAACCAATTCAATACAATTGCACTAAATTGTAAAATGATCACTAGTTAAAATTCCTGAAAATGTTTATTAAATAGAAAAAAATAGTTTGTTTTCAAAAAAAATAAAAAATACTACGGGAATAATAAAAAAATTAAAAAACAATTACTTTTTTCTTTTTGAAAAAATTGGAAGGAAAGTTCCCTCTAATGAAAGAGAATATAAAATTATAATTTGGCATTCTAGAGGTCCAACGAACACGTCATTAATTAACTGAAAAATTGATAGAAGTACTTGATTGATAATTTAAAAAAAAAATTATTATACTCAAATAAAAAAAGTATATATATATATATATATATATATATATATATATATATATATATATATAGTCGATTGAGAAAAAAAAAGGATAAAAATTTAATTTGGTGTTCTAAAGGTAACAAACACGTCATCACCTTAAAAAGGAAAAAAATTGATAGAAGTATTTGATTGATAGTTTTAAAAAAGTCAGTATACTCAAATAAAAAAATAAAATTTATATATTTGATTGATAAAAAATTTAAATTGATATACTTAAAGTGCTTTTATCCCAAATATATACCCTTTTTCTTTTGGACTGTAGGGACTCCAAACTTGGAAAATATTGGGGCCAATGCCCAGGAGTAGCGAACAGTACAGTTACTGATCTAAAGTCTGGATGCTCCGAATAAAATCAAGCCCAATAGTCGGTTTCATAAAGACCAGGCTGAAGATTCTCTAACCTTAGATCCAATACAAATACCGACCCACGTAATTTAAAAGCTAATTTACAAATTTTTTTTATTTTAGTAGCTTTTTTACACGTCTTTCGTAAATATATTATTCAAATATTTTACAATATTTCGATTTAATCTTAATATATATATTTAAAAAATTATTTATAAATGAATAAATTTGAATAATTATTATATCTTTTAAAACCTGACAATGTTATATAAAATTTGATAATTTATAATTTGTTTTATTTTTTAAACCTGTAAAACTAATTTTAATTGTATTAAAATAAAATTGATTTATGTAGTTAGTGTGTGTATATATATAATTTCCTTGAAATGTGTTCAATTCATTTTTTGGATTTCTTTATTATCTAAAAATTATAAATAATTAAGCACAAGTTAGTATCATTAATATTTTTCTATCGTCAGAACCACAAAATAAACAAATGTTTGATATCTCAAATGGTTCACGACAAAGTCAGTGAATCTCAATCAATTGCCACACACAATAAAAAGTAAGACGATCAACGGGTCAAATTTAAATCGGATCATAATATATCTAGATTTAATTTTTTTAATAAAGCAAGTCAAATCGAATCTTATAGATTAGAATCGAGTTTTGAAAATGTGAATCTAGATTCTAATAGAAGCAGATTGGATTCAAAGTTTTATTGGAATTTATCACTTGTTTTTGTAAAAAAAAAAAAAAATTATGCTTAGTAGATTTAATATATTAGTTGAATATAAAATATATTTCAACCAATATATATATATATATATATATATATATATATATCCAGATAATATTTCATCTATTAATTTTGTAAAAGATTTAAAATATCATACAATCCAGAAGCAAAAAATCAAATAATTTTAATAAAAGTTTATCTTGAACTAGATAGGAAGTATGATAAAATTGAAATAAATAATTAATAAACACTTTTCATTTCTTGTCCATATGGCAGCAAAATCAATTTTTGTTAATTCAAATTTCAAGATAATAGTGCTAAAAATCAAGACCTGCAAAGAAAGAAAGAAAAGAAAATTTATTAATATTATCACATATATTTAACAAGTTACTTCACAAAAATTTACAGTATATCACTTTATTAATAGCAGTAGTATCATATAACTAAAGACATACTAATATTGCATTTTCTTAACTTTTCTCTAAATTCAATTTTTTTGACTTCTTGATAATACAAGGTTTTAATATCTCAAATTCTGATATCCACCTACTTGTTTCTACATCTCCTCTCAATAAGAGAAATATATATATATATATATATATATATATAATTTTTATAAAAGAGTTCATGCAAAACACTATATTATGTACTCTATTATCTCAATTAGTTTGACACATACTATTATGTCTACCATTAAAATACTAAAATGAGTTCCAATTTATTTTAAAAAACAAAATAGTTTCACATGCTATTATTCTTACCATTAAGTTTAAAACAAGTGGAATGATTACTTTAGAATATATTCATTACTCAACTCCACAACAAATCTTATCATTAAAAAAAACAAAAATTAAGCACGTTAAAAAAAAAATCATTTTAATAATTAGTTAATGCATGAAAAGTAGAAATGTAATGAGTTTAAGTAAATAAAATACCATGTATTTTTTACGAAGTTGAATTAAAAAAATAACATAAAACTTACATGTGATTTTTTTAAATACATTCGTCACTATAGAAAAAAATATGCGTTATTTGAACTTTATAATAAATAAACTATAAATCTCAACTTAATCTCACATATATTTTTTTTATATTTAAATTTTTAAAATATTATATTTATTAAAAAACATATTATTTTTAATTTTGGATCGGATTATTGTCGAATCATATCAATATTGATTCAGATTTGATTCATTTAATAAATGGATTAATGGATTTAGATTATAATCGAACTTGACTAAAAAATAATTTTTTATCAAATCCATTTAATTACATTGGATTCAGATCGAGTTTGTATCAAAATCCAATCTATTTACAACCTTAAAAAAAAAAAAAAAAACGTGTGTAATTTTTTAGACGGGCAATACATGTGTGTTATGATTGCTTAAAGTAAAATCCAATTAATATGTTATTTATTGGGTAATTTAAATTTAATATCTTGCCTTAAATTATTCAAATTTCAAACCTTAGTGGTTACATCTCTTTAACTCTGCTAACAAGAAAACTTAAAATATTTAAAGAATAACCATTTATGGGTCTAAACTCATTTGTTTTTTATTTCTCTATTTTATTTCTGTCTCTTCTTTATATCTATCTCTCCTAAGTGCCATAAAATTTCTTAATTAACTTTTTGAGAAAAAAACAATTTCGTCTATCTTCTTCCTTCTCTTAAACCTCTTTATATTCTCTCTTCATCTGAAAACTTGTGTATTTCCTTGTTCAGGAAAGTGTTGGCTTGGTTTTCGTATACCTTTGACATCACATCATATTATGATTGTAATTTTAATTTTTTTTATTCATCACTGGATTTAGATCTTTCTTGGTAAACAAGTTTTTTCAGTTTCTTCTCCTTCCTTTAGTGTTTCGAATTTGTTTTGTATACATCCTATTTTTTTATTTTTTTTCTTGCTTGATCCTTGTCCGTGTCTTACTTTTTAAATATCTATTTTATGGAGGAAAAAAAAAAAAAAAAAAACTCAGATAGAGAACTTAAACCTATCCAAGGTCCTTGCATCCACAAAACAGCTCCTGGTGTTACGGAGTTAAACTACTTCCGGTCTTTCATTGGTAAGGTTGAAATCCTCTTGTGCTTTCAATAATATTTATTTTTCAAATGGTTGATTTTTTCAATTAATTGGAAGATATCAATATTTTTGTTTGGTAGATATAGAGTTTTGTTTTGTGATGGAAAAATCAGACTTCTTTCTTTATTTGTTTTCTCTAAGCGTTTCTTTTTCAATTTTCAGTTATTATTATTTCTAATTTTTACCGGTTTTGTTTGTGTCAAGCCTTATAGGAGGAGAAGGTGGTTGATCAGATTGTGACCCTTGGCTTGAGTGCCTTAAAAACTGCTCAAGAAGTTTTTGAAAATGTATATAATTATTTGAATCCTAGCACAGCCCCTTTGATTAATTTAAAAAATCATGTGGAAAAGATATTCCATGCCAATTATCGATTTGTTATAACATTTACTAGTTGATCATATGTGCTATGTTGTACGTCGAGCAAAATAAAATCATTTCAAACTTTTATAATTTTTTATTTAATTGTATTTTTTATTTTTATTTTTGCAAATATTTTATTTTAAAAAAATATGGTTTATTCTTCTTTATGCATAGATTTTGAAATAAAAACTTGTAATAATTCAAATTAAAATATTAATCAAGAATTAAAAATACTATAAAAATATATTTTTTTCACAAGAATGTATTGAAAAAATAAAGTTACAATTAATTTATAGATTTATATAAAAATTAACTAATAAAAAAAATAAAATTTTACCCTTATTTAATGCTGATAAAATGTTTTTTTTAAAAAATATATGCGTTTGATCTATATATTTTTTATTTACAAAATAATAAAAAAATGTTAGCATAAAAAATTATATTTGAATAATTGGGTGGTTTTTTTAAAAAAAATTATTTTAATTATTTGATTTCAAATAAATTGATTCTATAATGTTTTAAAAAATATTTATAGCAAATAGTTGATGTTATGTGTGAAAATGTATAATTAATTTTTAATAAAATAAACGATTCAATAAATTTTTTTACATGTTTTGACAATAATTAGTTGACTAAAATAAATTATCTGGAATACACTTTTAATATTTAATATTAAAACAACTATATATTATATATAAGCAACTATCATTTAAAAATTCTAATAATACATGATATATATTATATCGATTTATTTAAAAAAAATGATAAAATAATTTTGTTTTAAAATTTTATTCTAAAATTCAAATATAGAAAAATAAATTATATTTATCATTAAATAAAATTTTATTAAAAAATATTAATTGTATGAGGATTTTTATTAAAAAAAATAAAATTTAAATAATAAATTTACACAATAAGATTAATATAATTTAAATTACATGTTAATTTTAAAATATAAAAATAGTAATATATATATATATATTACCTTCATCACATTGCGTGAAAAAAAAGATTTGATATTCCATAAGTTTTCCCTAAAAAATATTAATTAAAATAATTAAAGAAAAGAAAAAACGAAAAAAAAAGGAGAAAGGCTGGCCACTAGGCCTAAAGCACCAAGTCCGTGAGCCTAGGCTTGGAGCGCCAACCCAACAAGCTGAGGCCTAGAATACCAAGCATGCGCCTCAGCTTGCTAGGCCCAAGCCCATGTAGACCTAGGTAGTTTTTCTTCCTTTTTGGCGACCTCTGCAGTTTTTGATGATCGATTTTGCTGAAAAAATACCAAAACTTAAATTTTATTATTTTAGGCTTCCTAAAACCAAATCCAGTTCTGATTTTGTCGAAAAACACCTCAAAAACCACAAAATTACAAAAAAAAAAAAAAAAAACTCATTTGGAACTTCAAAATCCATTTTAATTCACACAAGACTTCAAATTAAAAAAAAAAAAAAAACTTAAAATATTTCAAGCTTTTGATATACCTTTTCCTATCATTTTATGGCTTGCCACCATCACAAACGGATTCTACTTTTCGATACGAACAAAGTGGAGGTAAGATTAACCGATTAGAGACTGTTGCTACTTGAATTTTACGAGACTCTAGAAATTTTATTTAAGATTTGTTTTGTTGAGATTTTTTTTTATGTGAGTTATTTATTTATTTTAGGAGTCGCCACCTAGTATTGAAGGAACTAGGAACTTATAATGGATATTGGTTCACAGATTATAAAGTAAGGAGTTGGTCATAATTTTGAAAAGATATTGATGATCCAAAAGTT